ATATATATATATATATATATATATATATATATATATATATGCATCCATACCTGGCGCAGCAGTTGACTACACAGAGATGGCCCCGCAAGCAAATTCTTCGTTTCAGCGGCTGCGTGGCCAGCGGCTTCACCGGCAGGGGATGCGGCAGCTGCCATATATGCACCTGCAGCAGCAGCAGCAGCAGCAGCAGCAGCGGCAGCAGGTTAAGCAGGAGCAGCAGCACCAGATAAAGCAGCAGCAGCAGCAGCAGGTGTAGCAGCAGCTTATGCTGCTGCAGCAGCAGTTTATGGTTTAGGGTTTAGGGTTTACGTGCTGCAGATACGCAGCAGCAACCGCCAGCCCCTCCTAAGGAGCCCGGCGTGAGGTGCAACAGCCCCAAGGGGGCCTCTCGACCCCCACCCGCATGCATGCATGCATGCATGCATGCATGCATGCATCAGGGCACCGCTTGATACTACCGCTACTCCTACTACTACTGCTCCTACTACTACTGCTGCTGCTGCTGCTGCTGCTGTTGTTACTGCTGCTGGTGCTACTGCTGCTGCTGCAGTTGCCGCTGCTCCTCCCACACATACTACATGCATGCATACATACATGCACGCATGCGTGCATGCATGCATGCGTGTTGATAGGGGGGGGGGGCTAACCTGGAGGTCCTCGGAGCCGCATGCAACGTGCTGCATGTCCGTTAAGAAGCAGCCGCCCTTCATGGTGGTGGCGTTTGTGTAGCCTTCGCTCTGTAACTCAAACAGAGGCAGCTGAGCAGCAGCAGCAGCAGCAGCAGCAGCAGCAGCAGCAGTAGCAGCAGCAGCAGCACAAGATAGATGCAATGATAAAGGACAGAGATATATATAAATACACATACACAGAAAAGAAGAAATAAATATATAAATACAGATAGACGAAAGGGAGAGGAAGATAAAGACAAAGACAGTATAAAAAAAACAAAACAAAAATAAAAATGAAAATAGAAACAGGAAAAAATATATATACTGATTGTCTCCATCCATTGGGGTGTACGTGCACCCCACCCTAATATGAACTATATTTATCCATCCGGACTTCTTTTTTTTCTTTCTTTCTTTATTTAATTTATTAATTTATTTAATTTATTAATTTATTTAATTTATTTATTTATTTATGTATTTATTTATTTATTAATTTATTTATTTACCTCCCAGTCTGTGCTGTATATGAGGGGTTCTCTCCTTCTCCTTATAGCCAGCAGCAGCCGGCCATCCCACGAGAAAACTATTTTATCTATCATCTGCACCAGGGGGACTTCATCGATTTTTTTTGTTTTATACACCCCGCGTCTGCCTCCTCCTTGTCTTGCTGCTGCTGCTGCTGCTGCTCCTCCTCCTCCTCCTCCTGCTGCTGTTGCTGCTGTTGCTGCTGCTGCTGCTGCGTCGCGATCCGACTCTCTATACGTAGGAAAACGAATCGCTGGCAGCTGAGCTGCAACTGCCTCAGCCTCACGCAGCGCCGCCTGCACTGCTGGGGGCGCACCGGCTGCAGCCCGTAGCCGGGATCGCTGGGATCGACCCCACAGACGATCCCCAGCATCAGCATCTTCTTGCTGCTCTTCTCTCTCCTCCTCCTCTTCAGTATCTCCCTCCTCCATCTCCTCTTCTTCGTCCTCCATAGACAAACCCTCAGCATCATCAGAGTTGCTGCTGCTGTTGCTGCTGTTGCTGCTGCTGCTCATGCTGCTGCTCGGCATCTCGGGGGGTTCGGGAGGACTCCCAGGGGGACTCCGAGGGGCCCTCCTGTGGCCCCGCCCACTGCGGGGCCCCCCCGTGCAGGGGGGGCCCCCGCTGGGGGGCCCCCCAGTGGGGGTCCCCCCGCCAGAGGCGCCCCCAGACGGCGGAGCATCCGGGGGCGGGGGCCCCCAGACCCCCGGGGTCGTCTCCCTGCGCGAGCGCAGCTCGTCGCGAGGCAACGTGCGGCGGCGGCGGCGGCTCTCGGGTGTATCCTCAGCTTCCTCGGCCCCTGCTTGGCGTGGTCTCCCACGCCTGCACGCCCCTGGAGATACACCTGCTGCTGCTGCTGCTGCTGCTGCTGCTTCTTGTGCTGCTGCGGCTGCTGCTGCAGGGGTTGGCCGTCGTCGAGAAGATCTTCCAGAGGAGAAGGGGCTGGGCATGGTCGCTGCTGCTTCCGATGTACGCGTTGCTGCTGCTGCTGCTGCTGCAGCATCAGCAGCAGCTGCTGCAGCAGCAGAAACAGAAAGCGTAGCAGGCGTAGTACAGGCGTCTGCTGCCTGCTGCTGGTCAAGCGCAGCGCCTCGCTGGCTCCTTCTACCTAATCGGGAACGCGAGGTATCCCGTTC